CTGTCGCCATCGTTGGCAGCAAAACAGTGATTACAGACCTGCCCACGCTGCATCTTCTTTTCTTTTTCCTCAACCTTACTTATGCTGCCCCTCCCTCTCCCCTACTTCTGTCAAGCTTTCCTTTCCCTCTGTGACCTTCTGTTTTTTCTTCTTCCTTCATTCTCGTTTCTTAGTTGCCTTTTATGTTCACCCCAATTAGAGAGAGAGAGCCCCAATCCCATTTCATCTCCTCCTTCGATGTTCTCTCCTTATTCTTCTCCTAATTAAAACCCATCTTTCCTTGATCCCCATTCACTCACCGTCTCCCTTTCATTCCATATTAACCCCCTTTTGTCTTCTCCCCACCATCACTTTGAAGTCACCATACTACTCTGCAACTTCTCTGTCTCTATCCCTCCCTATCTTAACCCTTTTCTTTTACACCACTACAGCCAATCCACCCTCCAATTGGCCAGCGAAATAAAAATGTCGACCTCCCCAAACCTCTCCTGTTTCCTCTGTTTCATCTTCCTACTCCTTTCTGCTTTGCTTCCACCTCGCCAGAATGTCTCGCTCCCCTTGATTGCTCGTCCTTTCCCCCTTCTAAAATGCCAAACTACCGTCGTTAGGTAATCACACACAAACAAATTTGGCAGCCATGGATATTCATGCCGGCTATGTTCATTCCATCCCGCCAGTTCAGTTCAGCGCGTACCGGAATCATACCAAGCTCTTTTTTTTCCAAGTTGAAGATGAAGCCCTCTTACATCGTTAGACTACCAGTGATCGACCCGGCTGCCAGAGGCACATCACACTCGAGGGATCGTCAAGAAGCAACTTCGAGTTCATTACCTACCAGCACTGGCGCAACTCGCATCCTCGCCAAACCATTGACTCAACTCCCCCTTTTAGCAATTTTTCTTCAAGTTTCACCTTTGCGAGGTTTCACTTGCGGGGCCGTGATAGAGTGCACAACGTGTCACCTAAATGTTCTCTGATATGTTTGCTTCTGTTATGTGTTTAGTGGATTGTAGCTTTCTATTCCTAGTTTACTGCCACATTCTAGTCCTGTTAGTAGCTTGCTGTAAGCTCGACAATCAGTTGCCAAACCTCTGTATAAAGATCAACATCTCAATAATACACAGCTCGGGTTTCACCATGCATTTACATGGTATCAGAGCCTCAAATTTCCTCTAACGAGGTACTCTGTTTTCTTCTTCTTACTGGCCTTCCGTTCCGTCTCTAGCATCATGTCTTATGAAACAACTATTCTCACATCTCCATCTTCTTCTTCTTCTTCTTTCTTCTGCTTCCTTGGATTCCTCTACAAATGATTCACTCCCTCTTCCTCTGTCGCCATCGTTGGCAGCAAAACAGTGATTACAGACCTGCCCACGCTGCATCTTCTTTTCTTTTTCCTCAACCTTACTTATGTTGCCCCTCCCTCTCCCCTACTTCTGTCAAGCTTTCCTTTCCCTCTGTGACCTTCTGTTTTTTCTTCTTCCTTCATTCTCGTTTCTTAGTTGCCTTTTATGTTCACCCCAATTAGAGAGAGAGAGCCCCAATCCCATTTCATCTCCTCCTTCGATGTTCTCTCCTTATTCTTCTCCTAATTAAAACCCATCTTTCCTTGATCCCCATTCACTCACCGTCTCCCTTTCATTCCATATTAACCCCCTTTTGTCTTCTCCCCACCATCACTTTGAAGTCACCATACTACTCTGCAACTTCTCTGTCTCTATCCCTCCCTATCTTAACCCTTTTCTTTTACACCACTACAGCCAATCCACCCTCCAATTGGCCAGCGAAATAAAAATGTCGACCTCCCCAAACCTCTCCTGTTTCCTCTGTTTCATCTTCCTACTCCTTTCTGCTTTGCTTCCACCTCGCCAGAATGTCTCGCTCCCCTTGATTGCTCGTCCTTTCCCCCTTCTAAAATGCCAAACTACCGTCGTTAGGTAATCACACACAAACAAATTTGGCAGCCATGGATATTCATGCCGGCTATGTTCGTTCCATCCTGCCAGTTCAGTTCAGCGCGTACCGGAATCATACCAAGCTCTTTTTTTTCCAAGTTGAAGATGAAGCCCTCTTACATCGTTAGACTACCAGTGATCGACCCGGCTGCCAGAGGCACATCACACTCGAGGGATCGTCAAGAACCAACTTCGAGTTCATTACCTACCAGCACTGGCGCAACTCGCATCCTCGCCAAACCATTGACTCAACTCCCCCTTTTAGCAATTTTTCTTCAAGTTTCACCTTTGCGAGGTTTCACTTGCGGGGCCGTGATAGAGTGCACAACGTGTCACCTAAATGTTCTCTGATATGTTTGCTTCTGTTATGTGTTTAGTGGATTGTAGCTTTCTGTTCCTAGTTTACTGCCACATTCTTGTCCTGTTAGTAGCTTGCTGTAATCTCGACAATCAGTTGCCAAACCTCTGTATAAAGATCAACATCTCAATAATACACAGCTCGGGTTTCACCATGCATTTACATGGTATCAGAGCCTCAAATTTCCTCTAACGAGGTACTCTGTTTTCTTCTTCTTACTGGCCTTCCGTTCCGTCTCTAGCATCATGTCTTATGAAACAACTATTCTCACATCTCCATCTTCTTCTTCTTCTTCTTTCTTCTGCTTCCTTGGATTCCTCTACAAATGATTCACTCCCTCTTCCTCTGTCGCCATCGTTGGCAGCAAAACAGTGATTACAGACCTGCCCACGCTGCATCTTCTTTTCTTTTTCCTCAACCTTACTTATGCTGCCCCTCCCTCTCCCCTACTTCTGTCAAGCTTTCCTTTCCCTCTGTGACCTTTTGTTTTTTCTTCTTCCTTCATTCTCGTTTCTTAGTTTCCTTTTATGTTCACCCCAATTAGAGAGAGAGAGCCCCAATCCCATTTCATCTCCTCCTTCGATGTTCTCTCCTTATTCTTCTCCTAATTAAAACCCATCTTTCCTTGATCCCCATTCACTCACCGTCTCCCTTTCATTCCATATTAACCCCCTTTTGTCTTCTCCCCACCATCACTTTGAAGTCACCATACTACTCTGCAACTTCTCTGTCTCTATCCCTCCCTATCTTAACCCTTTTCTTTTACACCACTACAGCCAATCCACCCTCCAATTGGCCAGCGAAATAAAAATGTCGACCTCCCCAAACCTCTCATGTTTCCTCTGTTTCATCTTCCTACTCCTTTCTGCTTTGCTTCCACCTCGCCAGAATGTCTCGCTCCCCTTGATTGCTCGTCCTTTCCCCCTTCTAAAATGCCAAACTACCGTCGTTAGGTAATCACACACAAACAAATTTGGCAGCCATGGATATTCATGCCGGCTATGTTCGTTCCATCCTGCCAGTTCAGTTCAGCGCGTACCGGAATCATACCAAGCTCTTTTTTTTCCAAGTTGAAGATGAAGCCCTCTTACATCGTTAGACTACCAGTGATCGACCCGGCTGCCAGAGGCACATCACACTCGAGGGATCGTCAAGAAGCAACTTCGAGTTCATTACCTACCAGCACTGGCGCAACTCGCATCCTCGCCAAACCATTGACTCAACTCCCCCTTTTAGCAATTTTTCTTCAAGTTTCACCTTTGCGAGGTTTCACTTGCGGGGCCGTGATAGAGTGCACAACGTGTCACCTAAATGTTCTCTGATATGTTTGCTTCTGTTATGTGTTTAGTGGATTGTAGCTTTCTGTTCCTAGTTTACTGCCACATTCTTGTCCTGTTAGTAGCTTGCTGTAATCTCGACAATCAGTTGCCAAACCTCTGTATAAAGATCAACATCTCAATAATACACAGCTCGGGTTTCACCATGCATTTACATGGTATCAGAGCCTCAAATTTCCTCTAACGAGGTACTCTGTTTTCTTCTTCTTACTGGCCTTCCGTTCCGTCTCTAGCATCATGTCTTATGAAACAACTATTCTCACATCTCCATCTTCTTCTTCTTCTTCTTTCTTCTGCTTCCTTGGATTCCTCTACAAATGATTCACTCCCTCTTCCTCTGTCGCCATCGTTGGCAGCAAAACAGTGATTACAGACCTGCCCACGCTGCATCTTCTTTTCTTTTTCCTCAACCTTACTTATGCTGCCCCTCCCTCTCCCCTACTTCTGTCAAGCTTTCCTTTCCCTCTGTGACCTTCTGTTTTTTCTTCTTCCTTCATTCTCGTTTCTTAGTTGCCTTTTATGTTCACCCCAATTAGAGAGAGAGAGCCCCAATCCCATTTCATCTCCTCCTTCGATGTTCTCTCCTTATTCTTCTCCTAATTAAAACCCATCTTTCCTTGATCCCCATTCACTCACCGTCTCCCTTTCATTCCATATTAACCCCCTTTTGTCTTCTCCCCACCATCACTTTGAAGTCACCATACTACTCTGCAACTTCTCTGTCTCTATCCCTCCCTATCTTAACCCTTTTCTTTTACACCACTACAGCCAATCCACCCTCCAATTGGCCAGCGAAATAAAAATGTCGACCTCCCCAAACCTCTCATGTTTCCTCTGTTTCATCTTCCTACTCCTTTCTGCTTTGCTTCCACCTCGCCAGAATGTCTCGCTCCCCTTGATTGCTCGTCCTTTCCCCCTTCTAAAATGCCAAACTACCGTCGTTAGGTAATCACACACAAACAAATTTGGCAGCCATGGATATTCATGCCGGCTATGTTCGTTCCATCCCGCCAGTTCAGTTCAGCGCGTACCGGAATCATACCAAGCTCTTTTTTTTCCAAGTTGAAGATGAAGCCCTCTTACATCGTTAGACTACCAGTGATCGACCCGGCTGCCAGAGGCACATCACACTCGAGGGATCGTCAAGAAGCAACTTCGAGTTCATTACCTACCAGCATTGGCGCAACTCGCATCCTCGCCAAACCATTGACTCAACTCCCCCTTTTAGCAATTTTTCTTCAAGTTTCACCTTTGCGAGGTTTCACTTGCGGGGCCGTGATAGAGTGCACAACGTGTCACCTAAATGTTCTCTGATATGTTTGCTTCTGTTATGTGTTTAGTGGATTGTAGCTTTCTGTTCCTAGTTTACTGCCACATTCTAGATCTGTTAGTAGCTTGCTGTAATCTCGACAATCAGTTGCCAAACCTCTGTATAAAGATCAACATCTCAATAATACACAGCTCGGGTTTCACCATGCATTTACACAGACCACTGATCTTACCACCACAATGATAGCAACGAAGACTAGTCCACGCCACACCGCGAAGTTCAAGATAGGAATACAAGATGGACCTAAATTAATATGACAGACTGACAGTAATACATGCGAAAGAATAACAAAAGGATAATAGGAATGTATGTCGATTAACGCTCAAATCGATGACAGAAAATAGAAACATCCGACAGTGGCACCTTAGGCCACAAACTAGTAATGTAAAGCTTTCTTAATCCAAAATTCCCAAGTGAAAGCAGATCCAGGGGGTATTTATCACCCACCCCCTCTCAAAAAAAATTGTAATTATTTGAAGAAACATATCATAACGACTGTCTGCTGCGAGGACCACCTTCTCCCGGAATGTGAAAGATTTTCATCAACATCTAAACGGCTAAAAAGAGAGACCAGTGAAGGAACTTAACCACTGCCGGATCCGTACTTCTTGCCGAAAACAATCAGCTGCAACTTGTCGTAACCAGCAAGCACACCAGCACCAGCAACGGCACGGAGGATGTTTGCACCAGCACCCTTGAAGAGAGACTTGGTCCCCTCATTCTTGACAATCTGCTTGAACGCAGCCAGCGAACTGCTGTACTTCACAGCTTCGCCAGATGTCATCATCATTCTTCTGCGCACGGTGTCAATTGGATAGGATGCAAGACCAGCACCATTGGTAATAAGCCAACCCAGTGCAAAGCTAGCGAAGAAACTATCCTGAAATATAGCAAGTTCACCCGACAAACAAACAAACAGATATACATGTTAATAATGGTAGCCAACAGCTTAAATAAGAGAGCTTATTTCTTACTTCAAAGCATTAAATAGTTTTGAGTTAACTGACCTGGAGGTCACCAACCAAGAGAACTGGCTTTAGAGAGTCGTACATCCCAAAGTAGAGACCACGGTAGACAATGATTCCAACACACGAGATGTTGAACCCACGGTAAAGCCCAGCAATACCATCAGATGCCAAAGTCTTCTTGTAGACATCAACTAGACCATTGAATTGCCTCTCGCCTCCCTTCTTGGCAGCCTTGGCATCATTGGCCAGACGGGTTCTAGCATAATCCAAAGAGTACACAAAGAGGAGGGAAGATGCACCAGCAGCACCACCTGATCCCAAGTTACCAGCAAACCACTTCCAGTAACCATCCCTGTCCTTCTTGAAGTTGAACAACCTCTTGAAGTAGTCCTTGAAGGCAAAGTTCAAGGCCTGACAGAATTTAAATCCAAAAGATACAAGTCATCAGAAAACAAGGGTGAAAATAAGTGGGTATTGAAATTGAGAAGAGGCTAGGTAAGTTGGTTTAACCTGGGTGGGGAAATAACGGATGACATTAGCTGTGTTACCCCTCCACAATGCAACAACGCCTTCATCAGCAATTGTCCTCTTAAAACAGTCACCAATACCCTTGTAGGGCTCGGCAAGTCTGCCAGTCTTGATCATCTCGTCCTGATTTTGGATCAAAAGCTTCACACGCTCAATAGGTGCAGCAGCAGTTTTAGAAACTGCTGCAGAGACTCCTCCCATGAGAAAATCAATAGCAAAGCCTGCCAACCCTTTCTCAGCTGGTGCTTGAACAAAAACAGGTGATCCAGTTGATGGTACAATGGACGAGACAGATGAAGATGAACCACAGTACTGGAATGCTGCGTTAGAGTAGTTTCCATATGCACGCCTTTGGTACAAGGCAGGCCTCTGGAAAGCACCATCATACCTCTGAACATCCTGGGAGGCCAGGTACTGGCCAGCAACCTTCTGCATCACTGTGGGGTGTTGGACCTTATCAGCCATTGTCACTCTCCCTGCAAGTGACAGAAGGTAAATTAAAATAATTACATCAAGACACATTATAGAATCCAAAGGAATCACTTCACTGTAGTTAGACACTGGAAGACAAGGATCAAACCTAGGAACCCCATTACAACCAAACAAATCACAAATCATTTTCAGGCACAGTAGTTCTAAAGGGCAAACATTTAAAAGTGTGCAGCACATCAAAGTGAAACATCATCCAAGACAGATCACCCACATCCTAAATTGTCAAACAAATCAACCATGGAAATCAAGCAACGGTTTTAACAAGCAGCTCAAAAGTCAAAATGGTTGTGATTGGATTTGATTGCAGAGTACGAGAGGCAAATTAAATTGTTTATAATACAAGGAGTAAGAGAGGTGATCAAATCGTTTATAATGCAAAGAGTTATCTAGGGCAAAATCGGATCAGATATCACAATCAAACAGGCCCAAATTGAATCTTTAATGATGTAGGCCTAAGACAAGAATCGATTGTTAACAATAAGAGGAGCACAGCCCTCCGACCAAAAGACCCATCTAACACCTAGAACGCATCGACGAGCCACAGTCACGAACATGAATGTATGCATCGTAAATCAGAAGCATATCACAGACACTAGATCTATAAATAAAAAATTACGAAAAGGAACGCAGAAAGGAGAGCAGCTGAATTATTCAACAATCCACCGGAAAAGATTACGGTTATATCACCGGACAAAAATCAGATCTGAATCAATCAGATCATCCGGTTACAATCAATAATTCAGTATCCGGTAAAAGCCAGAACGCAATAAAAATTTTAAAAAGATCAAACCCTAGAAAACCGAAAAATCAGATCTTAGAGAAACATCATGGAGCGATCAAAATCAAGAGAGAACAGAAAACCACAGATCTACACAGAAAGGAAAGATGTAGAAAGCGAAAGTGAAAACGAATAGATCCTATAGACAGTCGCAATACTGTGAAGAACGGAAAACAAGAATCAAGATCGTCACCTGAAAATGCAGCTGAGTATTCAGACGCGGAGGGAGAGCGGAGGGCGAAGCGCGTAGAGAAACTGTTGCGAGTAAGGCTGCGTGCGTTGAATTGAGCAAAATGTTTGGGTTTTTATTGGCTGCATTGGGCTGACCTAGGGAAACTTCCCAAGCGAGGGCTTCGATCCTGTGTACAGTGGTCTTGGTTATCCTACGATGCGGATGCGTTGTTACCGTTAGGAATGGCAATGGCCAATGGGCAATGTTCGTCCTGTAATAGGTAGAGTTCAACTCGAGCAATTTATCATGGGTTACGAGTTGGTGTAGGTAGGTTCATTTTAAATACATAATAATTTAAAGGCAAAATATTATATATATTCATGATTTTCATTAGAAAAAACTCATAAACAAACTATAACATGATAAATGAGTTAATTGTATGGTTAGTCACTGAGATTACAAAAAATGTTTAAGTTTGGTAACTCGAAATATTTAAATTCATTGGTAGTACTTCAATTTACTGAAACCATTCATGTTTGGTCACTCTTCATCCAACTACGTTAACTTTGGCTGATGTGGCAGTCAACTCTCAAAGTTGACCGTTAATTTAATGACGTGGCAACTAAAAATTATTAAAAATAAAAAAATACGTTTATATTTTCCACCTCATTATTACATTCATTAAAAAATAAAAATAAAACTAATTTCTTTTCTACAAACCCTCATATCGTAACTGACCCAACCTCCACCGTCGTGCTCGATCTTCATGACGTTGCTGACCCGGAAGTTGGAGACGGTGATGAGATTGAAGGTGAGGAGGAAGATGACGACTCTGTAGTCGTAGTTCTTCTTCACGTACGACAAGAACCTCAGGTAAGTCGTCGCCCTTGTTTTTTTGGGATGTCAATAACGACAAAAGTAAGCAGATAGAACCCAGTAAAGTTAACCAATTGCGCTAATTCATAATCACTAATCAGAGGCCGTTGTAAAGGTCCTTTTATCGACAATTTGATTATTTTGTCTACACAGACTTTGTGACTATCTATCTTTAAACTTAATGACAAGGCTTGTTTGGAAGTTGTGATTCTTCAAATTGATGTATTGAGACAATTAGTGTATTATCATTTGATGTATTGAATCAATTGATGTATTAGGCAAATATCTTGTTTGGAGGTATAGATTGTGGTTTTGTTCTAAAGGTAAAAAGTTAGTTTTGAGTGATTGTGAAGAATCTCAACAAAAAGTAGAGATTGTAAATCCCTCAATATTGAGTGATTGTGGTGGGGCCTCCAAAAAGTAAATGCATGTATTCTAGTTCTATATAAGTAAAAAAAAAACGACTTAATCTCACAAATACATGAATTAGGTCAATACACCATTTGAAATCACAACTTCCAAACGACACCAAAGAAACAGATGATTGAGATGGAAAAAGCTCCATACCAATAATGAAGACCGCGCAAACCGATGAGATGGCGCATCCGACATGCCCTGTTGCCTCGGCAATGAACTCGATTAGATACGCTAATGAACCCGCCAAGATGGTGCCTAATCCCCTGTTCAACCCCTTGCACAAGGTCACCCCTGTTTCAGAATTCATATTTAGGGGGGGGGGGGGGGGGGGGGGGGGGAACACTTCTGATAGTATTAGCGAAAGGGGTTACTAGGGAGTTTTGACGTTACCGACGGTGAACTCGAGGACGACGACGACAGTCATGACGGGCCAAATGGCATTCTGACTGATCCCTTCGAAGAGGGGCTCGAGGAGGTAGAGCATGGAGACTAGAGTGAGTGCAAGCCCGACTTTGACGGCGTGAATGGCTCGCCGGGGGGCATCCTTACTGACTATCCACATTTTCCGGCTCGTCGGGTGTTGCTACGGTGGTCGGATTTCATGACGGCGGTGGAGGTTGGGTCGGGTATGTGTTTGTAGAAAAGAAATTTGGTTTATTTTTATTGTTTAATGAATGTAATAATGAGGTGGAAAATATAAAAGTTTATTTTTTTTATTTTTAATATTTTTTTAGTTGCCATGTCACTAAGTTAACGATCAACTTTGAGAGTTGACTGCCACATCAGCCAAAGTTAACGGAGTTGGACGGAGAGTGACCAAACTTGAACGATTTTAGTAAACTGAAGTACCACCAATGGATTTAAATATTTCGAGTGACCAAACTTGAAAGTTTTTTGTAATCTCAGTGACCAACCATGCAATTAACCTCATGATAAATATAGTTAAATTATTCGAGTAAATGATGTGTTCACTTGGGTGTCCTGGCGCTTAATGATAATTTTTTTATTCTCATAAAAAAAATTATGTGTTCACTTATTAGCGACTACTTTATAGCTAAAATATGAGGTAACAAAATTAAGAATCTAAATAATTTGACTAAAATTATATGTAATTTAGGTAAGAACATGTCGAGAATGGGCGGGTCAGGTCGCGAAGAGTACCCATCTCCGCCCTACCCCACCTCCAAAGCGGATATTACCCTACAAAACAAATCAAATAGGACAGATAAAATGGGTCATCACAAATTATCATTAGTAGCTACCATTAAAGGTGGCAATTCTTAATTCAATCCACAAATCCAATCCATCAATTTAAACATCCAACTAATCCAATCAATTTAATACAAATCCAACAGGATTGGTGGATTCAAGGATTGATCCATGGATCCAAATGGCAAACTACAATGTAGTACCTATACTTTTTATATTTTAGATTTTGGTACCTTAAATTTATTTTTTATCAAAAATTACATTGAAAAATTATGTTTTGGTACCTACTTTTTTTCTTGTGACATTTTAGTACGTCAACATTTCAAAATTAACATTTTGGTCCAAGACTTGGATGTCATTTGGATCCGTAGATCAATCCACCTATCCATATAATCCAATCTATGAATCCACCAATCCACTTAATTCATGGATCTACCAATCCAATCCACCAATACATGGATCCAATCATTTGCCACCTCTAACTATCATCCATTTGTGATATTGATTTTAAAACTAGTTAGACCAGCCAAAGCATATGGGGAAAAGTGGTGAGAAATTTGGAATTTTTTAATTTCAATGAAGAGAGAGCTACAATGGAATAAGATAAAGCGCGAAAGAGTGAGATTGGATTTTTTGGTGAAATTAATTTGGTGTTGATTTGGTCGCTTTGTCTATATAATTTGGTCTTTGTTTGTATATAGATAGTAAAAGTTAATTAGCATGAATATTTTGATGTATTTATATAATTTTGACATATTTTTTTACCATTAATGACAAAAATACAAGACCATAGATTGATTTGACAATCGAATCCACTTTTGTTTGATTCCAAATGCTCATATTCTTGTTCTTTTTCATGTCATGATGCCTTGGCATGCAAACATCCAAAATGCATCAAATGTGTAAAAAAATACATAGAAGCTATCAAATGCACCTTTGAACAAATAAAAAAATCAAATTAAAAATGGCTAAAGATATGGAGAATCGATGCAAAACATGCCATGAAATGAGGTGATAAAAAAGTATATTTTATGTGTCATCAAACGTTTGGATAGAGTATTTGAGAGAGTTACTTGGGTTCAAATAACTCACAATAAGTTATATGGACACAAATAACTCGTTTGCAGCATTTTACTGACATGAGTTATTTGGGCAGTGAGTTATTTACAAATAACTCATACCCTCGTGTTATTTCGAAATAACTCGTTTATCCCTCTGTTTTTGCCAAATAACACATGTGTATGGTTCTACCAACTGAGATACTTAGTCATTTACCATTGAAATAACATTGAATGCCACATGAACAATTAATGAGTTATTTCTCTACAAATACCACATTGACAATTAATTCATTCAAACGACCCCCAACTTATCTCACACTTGAACATTATTTGTCCCCAAGCAAAGAATACTCAAAATTATACAACTCATTAGACCTCTACGATGACACGTAACTTTCGATCATAGGTAGTGGATCCTGAGTAACTTACAAGGTCACCCTCGTGCTTAGAGAATCAAACCACATCAATGAGGTACAAATCTGATAGGACAATCTGGCCATCCCCATAAATCGTAAGTACTCAACTCAACTCGAGCGTCTAAAAAGCGTTTTGCGGTGAAACTTTTTGCAAACTTTGCCTTTAAGCACATTTCTACCTTTGTTTGACAACCAAGGTTTTATTTCCTCTCTTTTAATTTGCATGCAGCTTTTTGTGTACTTTTTATAGCACAAGTGGATTTTGTTGTTTCTTGTTACTATAATATAGCAAGAGCAATTTAGTTTTCATCTTTCATTGCACAAAAATTGGATTTTGGAAGAGATACTAGCTAAGTTTTAGTGTGTAAGTCCTACAAGGTGATGCTAGTTCCTCTCTAGTACAAGTGAAATTTCCACCGTTTGAATTGATAATCAACTCGAGAATGTGTTTTTAAGGCATAGATAGAGCTTCCGACACCCCTTAACTTCATTGATCCACCACATGAGTTTAGGTATATGAGCTTCTAAGATCTTGCTAAATCAATAAGGGTCTAAGGCTCTAGTAAGTAAAGAGCCCTCCATACAAGAAAAGTCTAGAAAATGTAAAAAATTTGATGAAGAAATTCGTAAAAGTAAAAAAAAATGTATGTGTTTGAATAAGACAGAGTGCTTAAAGAACTATCAAGTTGATGGTAAAAAGCATTCAAAGTTTAAACATTTATCAAAAGGTTCACCTTATCTTTTTGAGTCTCTAATGCATAGTTAGTGATTGATGCTTAGGTTGAATTGCATTATTTTCTTGCATGTTGATGTGGTTAGGATTCTCTCGTGCTATTGTTGACCTTGTAAGTTACTTATGATCCACTACCTAAGATCATGGTTGAGTGATGATTGATAGAGTTCAATGAATTGTATGATACGAATAATGTTTGCTTGGTGACAAGCAAAATTCAAGTTTGGGGTATTTCTAATTACATTTTTTATAGTGTTTATCACTCCCATATTTGATATACTTTCCCCTTCTATCAATGCATTTGTAGTACTTACTCTTATATTTCGTATCTAAATTAAACTATTTGATCAATGGGCATTTAATATACTAGGGTTGTGTTTTGTACTCTTTGATGCATTCTTTGTATGTTTTGAGGGTTTGAAGGTACAAAGCAATGTAGGATGATTTGGATCAAGCATTGAACAACAAGGACCAAAAGAGCTATAAAGACAAGAATATGGAGCTTTTCATTATAAATACGATGTTCAATGATGAAGAAGCCTACTAGTAACCACAACTAGAGCCCAATGGAGGAAGACTTGGCCCAAGCAGAAGCAAGAATCGGTGCAGGCCCAACAAAGGGCCCATTTAGTTTCCTATGTTTTTGTTATCTATGCTCATTTAGTTCAATACTTGCTTATCATCAATGCTTATGACTCTATAGATACTATTGTAAGCATTGTGCTTAGTATCATCTAGGTAGTTAAGAAATTACCCTCTAGTGATACACCATTGATGCTACACGAGTACTGATAGAATGATCAACCATCTATACCTCGAGTAGTATCGATGTTTGATTGTTAGAACATCGATGCTATAGACCATCAATTATGGCTCAATAGGCCCACTCTTAATCATGTGATATCCTCACTTCTCGGTCTACATTGATTACGTGATGGCATGAAACGAAATCACCATTAGCTAGTCAAGTTCCTATTGCATGTGACAAAAGCTCAAGTAGGATGACCTTAGTGGAAGGGATAGAGTGATGATATAGAGGATTCATTGATGCATGATATGACCGAGAACTAGTATGTGTGATGATGCTCCAGTATGCCTTCTTGTTCAATAACGTATCTTTACCTTTACGTATCTATAACTTGAAAAAACCCTAAACAAATTTACTTTTCCTTGCTTGTTACTCGAATGAAAACCCCTAAAGAAGTTTTCTATTTCATGTTGAGCATAGATAGTATGGTGTGAGTAGTTATGCATTAGAACACCTTGTACAATGCGACCCTAGGATATCCTAGAACTTTTATCACTTGCATGAATAACAATCATTAATAAGGGCTTCATTTAACTCATTTTCCTCAATCCTTGTGGAGAGGCAATGCTATAGAGGGATGTCGTAAGCTCTATCTATAACATATAAGTACCATTCTCAATTGACACTTAACTCAACGAGGGATTGTACTTGATAAGCAACACCATATGGTAACGAACCGATGCTCAGTTGAACCTTTCCTGATCTCTTTGTGCAATGAATGATTGTCTCACGTTGGCACACTTTTTACCCCATACTTTATTTTTAGAGGCAACTTTTTTATTCCACTTGTCATTTAGGATTTTTTAATGTATAAGATACAGTTCACCCCAATGGAAACTTTTAAAACAGTGAGACTCATTGAAAGAATTTAAGAACTCACGAAAGATAGTGAGAAGCATTGTATCCAGACATATCGAGTGGTTTTTAGAGTTTAGTCTCATGGCGATGACATCTTTCATAGCCACTACAATAGCCTCCCTATATCACGTATCAAGGTAGATACTAGCAATTGAAAGTAAGTTGAACATGAATATGAATAGGAGAGTGTTGCATGCTTTTTTTTTTTTTTTTGAAAATTTTAGCACATTTGCACTCATACAATATACCCATATTTTATAAAATTTATCGACATAGTAAAGATATAAAATAAGATGAAATCATACTACCAAACCCCACCTCACACTATAAACTCATTGTTCCCATTGGACCAAACAAAAGAGTAAGGGAAGGTAGAACAAAGTTACCTCGAATATCGATAAATTTTGGAAAGAGCACGAAGGAGTTGCTAACCTCGATTGGGTAGAACATAATAAAGAAACTAGTAAAATAAAGGAC